CCACCACCCCCATCACCACCACCTCCACCACCACCGGAGCTCCTGGTGAGATATTCTGTGGAACTGCAAACGAAAGTGTGACTCTAGGCTAATTACCTATAAAACAGACCATTGTTTCCTTCTGAGCATCCCTTCCCCAGCCCCCAAGTGGATCTAGTTTCCTCATCTTTCTGGATTTTAGTGGGTTGTGCTTTAATAAATTGTGATACTTCCTATTTTCAAAAGGGAAAAATGTTCAGTTGAGTGCATTCGCAGCTGCTCTAATGTGAGGACTTGACTATGGGTTTCTGAAGGCTTTCCTCCAGTTCAGTAAACTAGGCTGTCTTTGTGAATGCAGAATAGGCCCCTTTGCATGGGCCCATCTTCTCAGCTCCCAAAGTAACAATTATCGGTTTGCCCTAGGTGGCCCATAGCACTTTTTGTGGAAGTGACAATTTACAAGTCCTCTGTAACACCTGTGTTTCCTGTATTCTATTTCTTGTATCATACCTACTTTTCCAAGGAGCCAAAACTCAGTAATACTAATTTTTTAATTGTGAAGGTTTCATTTAAAATATTTTTAAATTACCTTGTGTACCTCACACTTACTAAAATGGTCATTTTTTTCACAGTTCTAAACTTTTAGCATCATAATCATTGACTATTTCTCCCTCTTTGAATTGGAAAAGAGGTCTTTAACAGGCTTCTGGCCCTAACAGGGACCCTCACTCTTGGAAGCCAGATAGAGAAGTGACCCCCAGGTGCCTGGGAAGACCTTGTCGCTGGTGAACTGTGCATCACACTCCTGTTCGGAGCAGCCTCTGCAGCGTCTTGTCTTTGCTGCGTGTCGTTAAATGCTCTGTCTTTCCCTCCTTCTAGGTGTACAGTGAGTACAGGGCCAGCCTGGCTTTTGACCTCGTCAGCAGCCGGCAGAAAAACGTGAGCATGATTTGACCCTCATGGTTTGTTTCCTGCAGGGTTTATTCATTAAGGTCAAGCTCCCAAAGCACTCCTTCCTCCAGGCCCCTTCCCGCTGCTCCACAAGCTGCAAGTCAGCAGCACCGAACCCAATAAAGAGTACACGGTTTGAGCAGCATTAGAATGGTTCTGAGCAGTTAGACTTCCACAAGGTTTTACTCAACTACCTAAATAGGTACCAGGTTCTCTTTCTGCTCTTGGACTTACCTGTTAGTGCCCCACCCCCACAGCCGTGGGCCTGAGCCGTGGGCCTTGCGACCCATTCCCTCAAGTGTGTGGTTGAAATAACCATTTCCTTCATGAAAGTTAACACAAGACTGGTCCCAAGAAGAGAGAGGTGCAGTGTATCTCAGATGCTCCCCTCTGTACCCCTCCGTCACGTCGGACATCAGCCACCACCTCCTCCCCTCAGTATGTTGTGCTTTTACATTGCAGGGTTCTGCAGGGTCTCCTGTGAGCAGTTTACTTGGGTGAACCCTGTCGGTGACAGACACCCCCACCCCCACCACCCACCCCCACCTTAGTCAGCCTATGCAGGAAAAGGTCATTTGGTGGGAGTTCTCTAACTTGGGCTAGAAGAGCCGCAATAAGTAACACTGGCCCTGCAGGGGGCGTGGCTGAGAGGTGCTCCTGTCACATAGCCCCTGGGCGCCCTTCTGCTTTCATGGAGAGAGTTTCGGTAGAGGGAGACACCTGTAGAAAGAGCCCGCTCGCTCGTGGTGCAGTCCCAGGCTCCCAGCTGCCTGTGTCTCTGTGATTGTGGCCCTAGCAGCCTTGCCTCGGGCACCTTCACTGCCCTCTGCCCTCGGTTCCCTTCCTCCTGTTCAAGTGAATGGGCCCACCCCTGGGAACCTCATCAAAGCATGATCCTCTGTATGAAAAGTCGCCACACGCTCATGCGGTATTTGTGCAGTTGTAACTGACTGGACGCCCCCATCGCACTGCGCTCCTGACCAAGTGCTCTCCTTCCACCCCAGGCGTACACTGATTACAGCGACTCCGTGGCTCGCCGGATGGGCTTCATCCCTCTGCCGCTGGCCGTGCTAGTAAGTCCGCTTTCTCCCCGGCTCTGCCTGAGAGAGCCACCGTTCTAGAGCTGGGGTAGGTGCTTGCTTGTGAACAGGATTGATCCAAAAATGGAAGGTGACCCGACTGATGTGTTCATTTGGAAGTTGGCCGCCAAGGAGAGACAACGTGAGGTTAAGGAACGGTGGTGACTACGAGCTTTCAGGGCAGTGAGAATCCATGTTTCTTTTTCTTTTTTGCTAATTGGCTAAAATCTCACATTTTAAATGGCAAGACCTGGTGCTGGCCATGACGTGACCACTGTGGTGCCTGCAAGAAGAAATTAAAATGAACCCAGCCTTTTTGTGAGAGCTTCGTTCGATGAGTCCCTTTATGCTTCAGCCAAGTTACCCCAGTGCTGGGAGTTCATCCGTGTAAAACAGGCGCACAGGCGCACCAAAGGGCTTACAGGTGAGGGCATATATCATAATGACGTTTATAGCAGTAAAATTCTAGAAGCCAGCAGGTTAAAAAATAGATGGTCTGCTCAAATGAAGACACATTCTATATCCATTGTAATAACTATTATTTAAAATTTCTTACCGTGAAGAGCTCTCCTGACCTCTTGTAGAGGTGGGGCTGTAAAAAGGGCATGGGAAAACCCCATTGTCTTTTAACACCATTTTCCCACAAACTTTTGGAAGCCCCCAGTGTATTCCTTAAAAAAAGCCCTGAAACTAAATGAAATCAACTCAAAAGCATGCCATCCACAACAGCCTTGCAAATAGTTGCTATATTCTGATGAGTAGTTGGCTGTCCCTGCATTGAATTGAAACAGTCAGCCTTCTTTTTGCCTAAAAAAGACGTGCCTCTGCAGGCACAGGGTCTCCTGGAGAGCAGCGAAGAAAAGTATAAAGCAGACGCAAGTGGGCCCGACTGTGATGTGGACCAGCTTGTCTGACATTTTTTAGATGGTGGAAGCCATAGTAATTAAAGTTCGGTCCAACAGTCCAGTTAACCACATCCTAAATATTTCCAATTAATAGTTTGTAATATAGGTCTGTAGTTTGCTTTGTTTCTCCCATAATTTCAGAAAGATTAGATTTTTAAAGAGTAAAATTATTTAGGAAGTGAGCTAAAATAGGGATTACATTTACACCTTTACTTTGGATGGCTGGAAACACGGTGCCGGAGGTGTGAGGATCAGCCTGGGTTTGCCCCACTGATTTGAACACAAAAAGGAGAGGATTGGATTTGAATGTTGGCACTGAAAGTCTCTGCCGACATCTTCCTTACCAAATAATGGCACTGCTTTGCCAGATAATAATCGACTCGTTTGTTGACTGGGCTAATAATTCCCAGAAAGCTGTTCATAGTGACTTGGTTTTTAAGTTGGTCTTTTGAAAGGTCTGCTCTCGCCTTGTTCCCTTTGTTAAACGAGCATCCATGGTCATTATATGCACTGATAACGTGTTGAGGGAACCGTGCTGGAGCCTAGCCCTTGCTTTCCAAGGAGGCGATTTGGCTCTCAGCGGTCAGTGGGCGTCCCCTGCAGCCCTCCTCCTGGCACTCCCGAGTGTGGCGGGGCTGTGATGGACATGTCTGGAGCAATGACCCCAGACCATGGTCATCATTGGACAGTTTCCCTCTAGCCCTTACCTCAAGTCCTAAAATAGCTTCATATTTTAAAAATAACTGAAAAAGTAAAAGAAATTGTCGTATTCTAAGATCTGTTACCACCTAGATTTCTAAATTCTTTAGTATTACATTAGATAAAGATAAGTGTCTGAAGCCTTAAATAAGGACGTGGTTTGTCTCAGGGATAAATTCCGGTCTTCCATGAACACAGTTATTTTAATCGGATAAGGGTTTCCACTCTGTTTTTTCTCACAAAGAAACTTTAGTGAACACCTGCCAGTCCATTTCCCTGGCTTTTACGGATCCCTCTTCTCTGTTGCCTGAGGGGGCAAAAAAACGAAATTAATCAACGAATTTTAATTTTTTATTTTTTAAGAAACAAAAGCAAAGTTAAAGGAAGCACTTGCTAACTGTTTTTACCTCTGGCTAGGAAACGTGTAGCAAGAATTCATTTTCACTTTCCCGAAGGAGTTTTCATTTCAAAAGCTGCTACTTTGGGGGTCTTCAGTAGGTGCAGGTCAAGGGGCCTTCCGGAGCTCTTTGTCGTGGGACCCCAGAGGGTCTGCAGGATCCCCCTCACGGTGCTGTGAAGCGGAGGGCAGTCCTGGACTGGGCAGTGGGTTTAGACAGAGGCCGTGGGTGTGTGCTAAGGTGGGGAAATCTGTTTCTGAGCTAACTACTAACTGATGCTGCATGTTTTTTGTGTCTGTGTTGTTTTTGTTTGTTCCTGGCTAGCTCATCCGAGTGGTAACGAGCTCCATTAAAGTGCAAGGAATCCTGTCCTATGCCTGCGTCGTTCTCTTCTATTTGGGGTAAGTTCTCAACCTTCCTAAGGCCGCGACCCTTTCGTATAGTTCCTCCTGTTGTGGTGACCCCCCCCCCCAAAATTATTTTCGTTGCTATTTCATAACTGTAATTTTGCTACTACTGTTATGAATCGGGCGACCCCTGTGAAAGGGTCCTTTGACCCCCAGCTTTACGGAAGTGTAACTTCCGGATAATACACTGCATATACAAACTGGAGCGGGTACGTTTCACATATCCTCGTCTATTCAAACCCTAAAACACCCTCAGCCCAGGGAATGAACACAGCCATCAGTCGTGTCACCTGACTCACACGTGGGCACTCCGGTGGCTTCTTTCATTCAGCGCCGTTGTTCCTGAGAGTCGCTGTGGGGCGAACATAGCCGTAGCTCACTCTTTTTTATTGCTCAGTCGTGTATCCACTGTGTCGACCCATTCACCTGTCAGGGGTCTCTGGGCCGTTCCCAGTGTGGGGTTCGGACAAGAAAGTTGCTGGAACATTCCTGTCAAGTCTTCTTCGGGTGGGCTCATCCCTTGATTTCCTCTGCAGAAAATACTTAGGAGTAGAGTGGCCAGGGCGTAGTGTGGGCGGAGGTTTGTTTTCCTGTCCTTCTGCGTTGTACGCATCTAGCTGTTGAGAACACACACGGCAGAACCCATGCCCGTGCATCCTCCGCTACGTGGCCATCACCTGCTTCAAGTGCGCGGCCCTCACACCCTCTTCTCAGAGTCGCTCCTCTGCATGAACTCTGCCCCAGGCTCCTGTCTGATGCAGCATTGTTCCCTGCAGCGTCAGTCAGAGACGTGCCAGGGCGTCCCGGAGTGTTTCTTTTATGCTTTTCATGCAAGGAAAGGGACATTATATTAAGGTAAACGCGTGACGGGTATGGACCATGCCCAACTGCTTCATGTTAAATTCAAGTTAAAGACAGAAAGAGCTTGTTCATTATCCGGGGGCTGCCTGTGTAAAGGGAAGCTGCTAATAGAGGTTAAGACCACGCTAATTGTCCTACCCCCACCCCGTCCCTTCACAGCGTGTACTGTAGAGCAGGCGGGTGTGGGGCTTGGGTAAATCCTGGTTACATCAAGCAGGAGGCGCTCATCAGTCATCTCCCAGTTTGTTTCATTGTCAGCGAATCATTGAGCGAAGCCCTCCTCGCAGAGGATTTCATTCCACTCAATTCTTTTTTCAAATTTATGAACACTGTTATTTTAAGCAGTGCTCTACAACTCTTTGAAGATGAAAAGCCCTTTCAGGAATTTCACTCCTTAAATATGTGCAGTCTGCCAGATGAACCTCTCAGGACCAGGGGTGACAGTGGCGATACCAGGAGGGAAAGGGGGTGAAGAAAGGGGGAATGAATCACAGGGAGCTACACATAACCTCCTCTCTGGGGGACGGGCAGCAGAAGGGTGGGTGAAGGGAGACACTGGACAGTGTAATATAAGATACAATAATAATTTATAAATTATTAAGAGTGCATGGGGGAGAGGGGAGGAGGAAGGGAAGGGGAGGGGGAAAAAAAGGAAAATGAGCTGATTCCAGGAACCCAAGAGGCAAGCGAATTTTGGGAATAATTAGGGCAACAAATGTATAGATGTGTTTTACACAATTGATCTATGTATTGTGATGAATTGTATGAGCCCCAATAAATTGGTTGAAAAAAAAAAAGGGCCGTCTGCAGACGCTGACGGCATTTCACATTTCACATTCACGGTTTTCACATTGTTGGGAGAGCTTGAGCCTCTGCTGCGGTCCACCATTTCATCCCGGTCTAGAAACACATGTGAAACTCGAGGACATTTTCCAAGTTTAACTCTTTAGCTCACTGACGGCAGGAGTGTTTTCTGTAACTGGCAGGCCTGTGTGTTTATTCATGAGAAGACCCAGCAACCAAGGGGAGAGGGGCTGGGGTGGGCTTCGGCCCGGGGCAGCAAGGGCACATAGGGCTCCAAGTGCCTTCAAACTCCCCGCCTCTTGTTAGCAGCCGACCCATGCTCTGTGATGCCTCCCTCCCGTGTGGGGGGACTTCCGGGAGGAAAGCTGGGCGGCAGGCAGGAGGGGAGAATGAATGACCACAGCTTTGTGTCTGTTTCCGGTTCCAGGTTGATCTCCCTGAAAGTACTGAACAGCATTGTGCTGCTGGGGAAGTCCTGCCAGTATGTGAAGGAGGCCAAAATGGAAGAGAAACTGTTCAACCCGCCCCCGACAGGCACTCCGGGCCGACCGCCCAGCCAGGCGCAGAGCAGAAGTAAACCACCTCAAGGTACGTGGGCTGCCCGCTGCCCACCTGGGGCTGCGTAATCGGCACCTGGCCAGTGGAGGCCCAGCAGAGCAGTCTGGGTCGCCATTGGCTCAGCTGCTGGTCCGTGACACGCTGAGCTTCAGCTTGTGTCCCCGCGACCCAGTGATCCAAGTTCACATGTTGTTCAGTCACACGTCCCTCGAAGGAACTGTACCCTAGCTCTGGGAAGCTGAGGCAGCCAGCCTCCGCTGACTGCGACCCCTGTGACCCCTCGCTCCCTGGGGTTTTCAGTGGCTGCTGTCTCAGGACAGAGATGGCCAGGACTTTCTTCCGGGTGCCTTAGCGACACCCCTAGGGACTTGCCTGTGTCCTCCTGGTGGCGCTTCTTCTAGGAGGGGGATGTGCACCAGCCAGGTGACAGTGAGTGCTGAAGAAGTTCATCCGAGGGGGGGGGGGGGGGCGGCGGCACACATGAGTGCACAGAAGTCGGGGTCTCTATGGAAGGTGGGAGGCCTTGGGCCTGACAGAGGGGCCAGCGCCAACGGGTTCCAGGCAGGAGCAGCATGGTGAGGTGGCCCATCAGGGTGGGCCGGGAGTGAGGTGCGCCCACTTGCACCCTCAGGCTAGTTCTGTAGCTTTGTGGAAAACAGGCTCCAGAAGGGCAGGTCCGAGCTCTGTGGCACACAGGACTGTGAGGAGTCTGCGGAAGGCAGAGGCAGAGCAGGGATCTGCGGGCAGTGGTGCCTGGAGTCCACCTGGCAGGGCATCAGGCGAGAAGTGACCGGCAGAGGCATGTGGGCCCAGCAGGGGGGCCACTGGGCCTGCTTGCCGGAATTTAGCGTGCAGAGGGGATGCTTGTGGCAGGGGGAGCCCCTTCCTGACTGAGTGTGCCTTGTTCCACAGGCCTTGTCTCCGAAGAAACGCTGTCAGCATCTGTCACCAGCCAGCCACCCCACCCGAAGGAAAATGTCGTCCCTCTTCTAGTGACCAGCAACTCCGACCAGTTTCTGACCACTCCAGACGGTGACGACAAGGACATCACACAGGAAAACCCCGAACTGAAACACAGGTCCTCAAAGAAAGATCTGCTGGAGATAGACAGGTTCACGATCTGTGGGAACCGGATTGACTGAGCCCCAGGCCGTGTGCGCGCCAGCCACTCAGCCCTGGGCAGCAGACACTAGCCTCGCCACCGGGCACTAAAATATTTATTTAAAAACTTAAATTATTCACAGCGAGCAAATATTCGGCTCTCTCTTCCAGCAGTGCAGTCGGGGTGAGGGCCCCAACTTTGGCTCCGGGGGAGAGATGGAGGGTTAGGAAGACGCCCCCACTTGCCATGCGGCAGGACGCTTCCAGGAGCAGCACCGCATTCTGGAAATGGCTAGTCCGCCCCGGCCGCTTCAGTATCAGGACACACCTGGAAAACTGTGAAGCTCCACCGTCCCAGCCTCACACCACGTCCACACACGATTTCAGACCTTCCCTCATCTGCCAAAGCAGTAAAGCAATCCGTAGACTTCCAGGAGCTGTCCGACCACCACCCCGATCCTTTGAAGATGTATCCCAGCTCCTCAGAATAAAAGGCTACCTTACTAAGACGTGAGGCACAGTAACTTTGTCTAGAAAAATGAACCCTAAGCCATGTTGTTCCATTTGTCATGGAAAAAAAGCTACAGTTAACGAAGGGTATGCAGCCCTGAGGAAATGTGGACTCTTGCCAGCCAACGCCAAGCTGTGTGGGCAGGTGGGGGCGCCTCCCGGGAAGCTCGGGGGTGAGGTGGGGGATGTGATGTAAGCAGCAGCGCAGGGCTAACTGGTTTCGCTGAGGATTTGGTGCTTCACACGTTGCTAACTGAGAAAAGAGTTTGAACAGACTGGGAAATTGTCAGTGTCCAAAACCCAGAGGTGCCTGCTTAATCCGGGTTTCCTAAGTAGCCATTTAGGAGTGGCTTGAGGAGCACACTCTTGCTTGGGCTTTATCAGGTGCTGAGGGCTTTCACTGTGGGTGAGTGTGGGTGGGCTCTGCAGGGAGGGGGCAGTCTGTTGTGAGAGAGAAGGCCTGTGTAGGTGACTGGGATATGCCCGTGCATGGGCTGGGGTCTGTATGGGGAGAGTGATTGTGGTGGGGGGAGGGGGCAGTAATATATACAAGGAGCAGGGTCTGTATAGGAAGAGTGACTGATATATGCCTGGGCTGGGGTCTGCCTGGGGAGAGTGGCTG